TTCTACTCCCGTAAAGATTTACACCCTCGGAAACCCTGTACAGGGTCGCTATGGGTCGGACCCGACTCGATGGCACTCAACAACAACAACAACAATACCTAATGTGAACGATAATTACTGTTGAAAAATTAGGCTTGGGGCGAAGGGGAAAGAGAACGAGCCAAATTGGCTCAAAAGAATTCATTTCTTAAATTTTTTTATTTGTATTGGTTGTTAGGCTGTCATGTCGGATTTGTATTGGTTAGGCCCACTTTATTTAATTGGTTACTTCTCAGAGTAGAATATGTTGGACAGATTTAATCAGTTCCCCTCCCCGAAGTTTATGGTCTTGGAAACTGACCTGAAAAGAATGCGGAATAGCTGCCTCAGATACATGTAATCCGGGGCTTCCTCAAAGCGCAGCCCACGACAATAGTTTAAGTACATAGCAAATTCTGCAGGAAACCCCTATAGGTTCAAGAGTTAAAAAAAACATAATTAAAGCCAAAACCTGATTTCAATATTAAAGAAAACAAACTGTATTTAAATAGAAGTTTAAAATGTTACATTGAATGTTTTACTACTTTGTAAGCAGATCTGTTTTCCTCAAACCTTTTAACATATGTCATCTTTTTGTCCAACCTGTTAGATTATGTTGTTGTTCTTGTACTTTTGACTTGGTTCTGACTCATTGCAACCCTGTGTAGGGTTTCTGAGGCTTTAAATCTTCATGGGAGCATTAAGCCTCATCTATCCCCTGTTGAGCAGTTGGCAGACTTGAACCTCGGTCATTGTGGTTCACAGTCCAGTACTTACACCAAATGGAGCCACTGGGCTCCCATTAGATTATAGGGGGAAATATGTATGCCTTTCCTACACACTATGTTGTTAATGAAGACGTTCGACCTGTTAACTTGGGGAATGAACACAGTGGCTCCTATACAGGGCCTCTCGGAAACCCTGTACAGGGTCGCTATGGGTCGGAACCAACTCGATGGCACTAAAAACAACAACATAGTTGACACTACAGCACTTATAATGTCTTATAGTTCAACAGCAACATGAAAAGGCCAAACAAGCGGTGCTTCTGAGATTTCTTTATAAAAGCTAGATCCTAACTTTTCCTCTATGTTGCTGTTGTTATATGCTGTCAAGTCATTTCCAACTCATAGTGACCATGTATAGAGACAACAAGGCTGTTAAATCTCTATGGAAGCAAAAAGCCTCGTCTTCCTCACACACAGCAGCTGGTAGATTTGAACTGCTGACCGTGTTTAACAGCACAATGCATACACCACTATACTGTCAGGGTTTCATAAGCAATATAGAAATATGTATGCACATAAATACATAAGACTCTAGATAAGTTAGTCATCACACAGATTTGGTCACCAGCAATGTAAAATATAAAAGAACAGGCAACACAAATTCCTTTATCTACTCTCTACTCAAATAAAAGTGAATGGAGAGAGGAATGCAGGTTAGAGACATTCTCTTCTCACAACCAACTGATTCACTGGAGACATCCTTATATTTCAGAGGAACTTTTCAAATCCAGAATAGTCAACCCAGGATAGAACAAATATATTGTAATGTTAACTTTTACCAATCAACTGAAATTCGTCTACTAGATAAATTTTTGTACCACCTTATGAAACCAGATAAAAGCAGAAGAAAAGAATAAGCTTGTTAAGGATTACAGATAAAAAGCATTGCTCAATGATGAGACATATGAAAATGATCTCACTGCTTTATAAAAATACCTCATACGTGTATGTCGGGTCCACTAAGAATCAAAAATTGTGACGAGCCCATAAAAATAGAGCAGTCCTCAATTTTTAGATCAAAATTAATGAAGTTGTAAGCAGAGAATGTGTTAAATCTGCTCTTCTTCCTGTAAAAATTACTGAATTTTCCACTAAAATAAATTTTCCTATTATATGTATTGTACAGAAATTCTGATGTTTTGCTTTTCAACATATACAGATTTAAATTTTACGTTTAGGTGGACTGTAACATGTGACTGTCACACATAGATCCTTTATAGGGTTTTCTGTATGGGTTTGAACTGCTGACCTTGTACTTATCCTACAGGACCACAATGTAGATATATGGAAAAGGGGCAAGGCATGTTTGTGGATAGGGAAAACTGAAAGACTTCATTTCCCACATTCACAAAGTACTATTTTAACTTATGATGATTCACTCCCCCTATCACTCATCTTTTACTCATATAAGGTTTTCTAATTATATCAGATGAGCAATTCATATCTTACAGAACACTTGAAAGTAGAGACCATGCTTAGCTCTTATGTCATATACACCTCATCTGTTTAAACTCACTTGGCTTCCTTCCTATGAAGTTTGAGTTTTTAACTATATATTCTGTAATTGTACAACTATTTTCGATTGATCCAGGTCTTCAAACTGGTTCTTGCCAACTCAGTCAAGGCAGACAAAAAGTGAAATTGTATGGGGAATTTTTACTGGTTGACATCTTGCTAGAAAAAGGGCCTCCATTCTAGAAGAAGGGCAGAATGCGTGTTGCATAGCAACTAAATCACTGGTAGCAAACAATGGTGCCTACCTCAAAAATGGTGGCCGACCTCATCACTCTGAATGTGTGTTGCTCTCCAAGTTACCAGCAAAAATCCTATCTCAAGCATCAGGTTCCTGAAAAGGCTCACTACTCCTCTTCCAGGCTTCCATCCCAGGATTTTAGACCAGATTTTTTCACACTTAAGTCATAGTTTCCATACACCCACAGTTTACAAATTCAAGTTATACTCTGATTTACCTGCACTAGTCATGAATGAACCCATTTAAACCATTCAGATTGAAGCCCTGAATTGATCTGATCTGTCTGTTTTCTGGCCTTTTAACAACAGACCAATTGATTTTTTTTCCCCCAGTATGTTTCAGTTTAGGGAAAGGGGGGAATATTTTTTTAATTTAATTTCTCTCATAGATTGGTATGGATCTATTGGGTAAATTTACCAGCCCTGTTTATATCCTCCAATAACAGATTGTTGCTGTTAAGTGCCATCGAGTCAGTGCTGACTCATAGAGACCAGGGTTTTCAAGAAATGGCTTGTGACTTTAACCTTGTGGTTAGCAACTCTGTGCTTTTCCTACAGTGCCACACCCAGAACTCTCCAAAATAAACCAGAAGCATAAAAAAAAACAGGTATTTTATAGGATAACTATTATGTAAAATGTTTCTTTTTGTCTTAGATCATTTTTTTCAAAAAACAGTGATCAAGCATACTTACTTTACACAAAACTTCAACAGGAGTGGACATCTTCTTTTCACTAATCTTTTCATATTTTTGTTTCTTTGTTGCAGCCTGTGGAAAATAAGAAATAGATCACAAAGACATATTCAATACTACTGAGAAGAACCTAAATAATTGAATACACTAAACAAACACATGAGATTTTAAGAGAAATCTGAAACCAGAATAAAAAGCAACAACAAAGTCCATATAAAAAGCTTTCCTTCTAATTGTTGGTTAACTTTTGAGGTCAGAGTCCATACTTCAACAACATTTTTAGCTAGTAGGATTGAGTGAGTCTATCAGAAACAACAGGATGTGTAAAATTTACCAAGAGTTTTGTTAATGGTTTCAACACTAAGGCAAAGGCAAAAGCAGATCAACAGTAATTTTTTCAAGTGCCATAATTCAATGCCAGTAATAACTATAGAGTTGGGAGTGTAGGACAAACACTGGACAGGGAAGATCTGCAGTTTGAGCCTACCAGTTGCTCTGAGAGAGAAAGATAAGGCTTTCTGATCCCAAAACCCTATAGAGGGTTGCTATGGTTTGGAACCAACTCAACAGCACTTAACAACAATAAGTAGAGTAAAACATATTTTTCTAATATAAAAATATTAATATTAAATTAGGCTACAAAGAACTGAGCAATTATGTCTAGTTCACACATGCTCAATAAATACGGGTATAAATTATACATTCTAAGATAGGAATTTATCATTAAACACACAGGACTCTCATAGTGAAATTCCAAGTTAATAAAACTATTAAATGTAAGAGTAATCACACAAATAATGTTAATTAATATTCCTGCGAAAATAGGGTTCTTGAAAAGTCTCCACTTGTAAGTTGTATCAACTTCCATCAAGATAAAGCTAGTAGTTACCAATGCATACCAGAAGCTTGGGGAACCAAATAGTTTCTCAGCTGTAAATTAGGAAAACTTTATTTCACACTTAGAAAATCTCTGATTTGAAAGGGACCTTAAAGATCACCTTACTCAATATATATTTTTTTACTTCTTAAAAACAAATAAATTTGTAATGTAAATCTAAGATTTACTTTACCTTTAGTCCTTGCCATGGCAGGCTGGTTCTATTAAAATACATCAAAACATATCCTAATGATTCCATGTCATCTCGACGACTAGAAAAGAGAACTTAATTTTATGAGCTGAAACCATTATGGGGAAACATGTGAGAGAAAGTCAGGTACACAAGAAATCTTCCAAAATTTAAGAGAACATTACGCAGCTTCAAAGTGCCTTAGTGCCATATGCAAGGTACTTAGCTCTAAGACTGTGTCTAGCATTTATAATAAAAAGTTCATAATGAACAAACCGAAACAAACTTTTGTCATAAAATCCAAATTTAAAAAAATGAACATCATCCTACAGTTTAATTTTTAAAGCAGAACAAATGGCTTTTAACAAAACAACTCTCTAAAAGAAGCCAATGAAAGATAAAGCTCCAAGTAGGAAAACCAGATACCAAAAGCTCCAAGTAGGAAAACCAGATACCAAGTTTTACAGAAGCTCATAAAGATAACTTTAGGGATGGTGGCATGAGTACACATTTTAAATTCAATTAAGTACCTCTATGAATGTCCTGGTGTGATGCTATAGGATACACATTGAACTAAGAACTACAAGGTCAGCAGTTCAAACCTCACCAGCTGCTCCTTAGAAACCCTACAAGGCATTGCTATGAGTTGGAATTAACTGGATGACACTTAACAGCATGAAGGCATATATATATATGGTTACGAATCGGGCTGCGAACCTTAAGGCCAGCAGTTTGAAACTACCAGCAGCTCCGCGGGAGAAAGATGAGGCGTTCTGCTCCCGTAAAGATTTACAGCCTCAAAAACCCTGTCTAGGGTTGCTATGGTTCGGAACCGACTCGACGGCACTTTACAACAACAAGACACACAGAAAGATACCTAAGAGGGGGCTTCAAAAGTTTGTTAAAAGTATGGAATGAAAAGATGATAGAATTTTTTTCCATTAAGTTTTGGAAGTCCCCTTGTATATTTAAAGCCTTAAAATATTTTGGCCTACAGAAAAAGTCAAATTAGACATCAACCATGGCTATTCAGGCATTAGTAGATACTTCCTAAGCATGAAATCATTTCCATGAATTCTAACCAGGGAACACATCATTTGTCATTTCTATACATTTTAAGAAGCAAAAAGTGATTGAAAAAATTGAAAGGGAACAAGAAAAACTAGAAAGAAAGCAGATTTTGTGACTATAGTAACTTGTTTAAATATATATTTTGTGTATTTATATGTGGTGGATACTGGAAGAGGAAAACAGGACAGTTAACCAAATTCCTTTGGTTTACTAGGGGCCCAGGTAACATCTACCTTGTAAAATTTAATATTTTCTTTCCCAAAATTCAAGTTGCATCACTCAAAAGTATAAAAGGCCCAAGATCCACATTAAGAAAATAGATGCTACTACTTTTAGCTACAAAAGTGAAACAAGCAAGACAAAATTACTTTTATGCATCTAACTTTCCATCATACAATATTTTCTCTAAAGAGACAACCTTCAACCAAGAAAACAAAAGACCTCATTTAATTGGCTTCCCTGCACTACACCTAAAGCAACAGGTAAAAGGATTAATAAGCAGCCTTCAAATTCTCAGCCAAGAGACATCTTTAGATATTCTAAGAAACAACTTCAAATGTTTCAAAGATTCATTAATGACGTCTCCTATAGATATAATGACATTCAATTTTCAAACTCACCTCTGTTCAATACCAAGATGTGCGTTGATGCTAGCATATCGGGCAGTGCCAGTGAGATTTTTATCTTCTCTGTATGGGATGTGTTGTCTTGTCCTGTTGTCTCTGTACTTTTTGGCCAAACCAAAATCAATAAGGAATAACTTTAAAAGAGAAATAAAAACACATTAGGTTTCTAACTTTGGTCAATTAAATGGCATCTATTTTATTTACACAAACATTAAAATAAAGTATCAAAAGTAGAACAGATAATGAACAGACTTGACACCCCAATAAGTGTTCACAAGTCCTCATCAGTAAGTCAGGTAAAAGTATATAGATAAGAGGTCTATACTGCCATTTGCACAATTTCATTATACATTCAGGAGCCTGTCTTTATAAAAGGGAGAAATGTGTACATGTGTGACAGCAGAATTGACAAGTATGCCACAATGAAATTTGACATCCTATTACTATTAAGCATGGGTTTTCAAAAACTAGACATATGTCAAACGCTTCCCGCCTAATACAAAGGCTGCTCCTTCAGTGTGCCAATAGAATGCTCAGTATTTAACGTAAGACATCCCTGATAGTTTGAAACTGGCAATAAAACCAAGATTTTTATTATCAACAATAAAAAATAAGCACATTTTAAATAAGCATGCATGTAATGAGATTAAACTTCTGGAAAATGACAAGTTGATCTAAAAAAAAAATCAATTAGCATTTAAATTACGGTGGCTTACAATTAATAGTTTAAATAAGTTAACTAAAACCCAAACTAGTATTTTAAATCAAAGTAAAGCTTAGTACTATCTCATTTATAGGATACCCAGGGAATAAGATCCTCATAAATAATGTAGTTAATTTTTCTAGGTAATCCAAATTACTAAGATTAAAAACTTTGGAAGAAAAGCAAACACTTAAAACAAAAAACTGCAAAATACCTAAATTTTGTGGTTCTTTCCATTAGACTGACATCTGGTCCTTTCTGCCAGCTTACAATCTGTGATGTGCTGGGGAACATGATCAACTAGTCTATTAAAGTTTATGACAAAAACAGATAATGTATATTGATTTGGGTAACAAAGTGCTGACCAGCTGGCTCTTAGGAAGATGAGCAACACTATTCCAGCCAGGCACTACAACCTATTCTTAATTATAATTGGGTAAAAACATTGAGGTTTGAATTTATTTTCACTTGGATCGCTGAGTGGGAACCAACTTGACAGCACTTAACAACAACTATGAAACAATGAAGATTAAATTTCTTAATAATATGTCACTAGTTAATGAAATTTCCCAAAATAATAAAATTTAACTCATTTCCTAAGTAATCAAACAAGCAATATAGTAAAGCTCACACTGTTAACTGTTTTGATATGTGAACCACACAGCACACAAACATTAGAATGAGTCAAACACATTTTGGTCAAGCAAAACAAAATGTATGACTTAAGTTCTCGCAGATTCATATAGAAAACAAAGCATGGAAAAAAGAAACACAAAAAGACAACCAGCTTCATATTTTTTAAAGCACCCTAAGAAATACGTGCATTTTGAGTGAACAATAATCAATACATAGAATTTCCTCTAAGGAATATTTCCTAGAGGTTAACAATAATCTGTACGTAGAAATTCCTAAGGAATATTTCCTAGAGATTGCTTCCTTTTGTCCTTCAATATGGTAAAGAAAAAAGGAAACACCGATGTATGATTATGTCTGGTAATTTCATTCTTGTCTAAATCTACATTCAAATGTTCTGTTGCAAGATTCGATAACCAGATATTTTCTCACAACCAAAAGACTGCTTTATAAAAACTCAGTGCCTTTTCTTCCACAACTCTAACAAAGGAAACTTAATTTATTAAGTAAACAAAAAATATTTTTCCTGAACATCTCAGTCTTTAACATTAAAAGTAAAAGCCAAGTAAACCAATCTTCATGTTATCCTCCTCTCTCTAAAATAATAATCAGCAAAAGAAATGTAACTGTTAAGACAAAGGTTATCCCTATTTTTAAGAAAAAATAACTAAAAGGAAATCTACTCGAAATAAAAACAAAAACTTTTGGTAGCTCCCTATCTTTTGGTATTAAGTTTCTTTAGTAGCTCTCCGTGTGCTTTGAATTTATAAACCTATAAAGGCAGTATTCTCATGAAAACTGTGATACCAAGGGTACAACCAGCCACAAATAGGTAAATGAGGAAAAGTCAATATCCATCAGTAAGTCATAAGTTACAGGCTGAAATATGCAAAGAGAGGAGCAAATTTGCTTTGGTGGTCAAGCTGCTATAAATTTTTATTAACAATGTACTTCAGTGGATTACAAGTTGGGCTGCTAACCATAAGGTCAGCAATGTGAATCTACCAGCCGCTCTGTGGGAGAAAGATGAGGCTTTCTGCTCTCAAAGATTTACAGCCTCAGAAACAACCCTATACAGGGCTGTTTTGAGTCGGAACCGACTCCACGGCACATAACCACCACCACCAATTTTCCACAAAATCGGTGCCAGTTTTAAAGAATGAAGCCTATTCTTCAAATGTCTAAGTAGAAATGAGCTAATGTTTGATAAATTGGGGCAATTTCATTCAGTAGGAAGTATGTTTTCTTCAAAACTACTACTTTTTATTTTATAATACTTGTTAGGAAGTTATATTACTACCCAGAGTTCACATTGTCCTGCCCTTCCAATACATTCACAAGGTCACTTTTCCTCACAACACAGTTAACCTGTATGTAGAGAAGATAAAATAATTTAATAATTTTTATGAAAATTATTAAATTATACTATAAAATAATCAAGTTTTTTTTTTTAATATAGTCTTGTAATATACCTCTCTACTCCTTGTCCTCCTTTCCCAATCAAAATCAGTCAACACATAAGTGCTTCTCTGTCTCTGAATAAAAATAACTGAATTTCTGAAACCTTAACAAGATGGGCAGCAAGGACAAGAACGACACGATTATCCAGTATCCCGTTATATTGATATTCACATATCAATAAAACTCCTTTGTGATCACTCATGCTAATATATCCCTATCAGTGTATACTAAATAACTTGCATGAGAAAAGATTCCTTAGTTAAAAGAACTTCGGAGTTCATTGGGGTTTAATATATCTAGCTGTCAAAAATGAAATTAATAGGTTATACATTGATTCATCTAAAGCATTACTGATGGTAATCATTTATAGTTGATGAATGCTTCAATTATACTGTTATACTGCTAAGACCTAGATGTCTTCTAGTGTACACAGCCATTTGGTTGTAGCTGAGAGAACTGAGACTGTGATGACTCAATTCTAGAAACATTAGTTCAGAAAATCCGATCTACACTTACCTGAGACTCATTAGGGAAGGGGAAAGGGAAGAGGGATGAGGCAGAATATATTCATTATACAGCACTGATGCAACGGAATTTACAAGTGGTTCATGCATTAGATTCTATAATGCCAAATAACATTTAAAAAAATGAAATAGTATAGCTCGCATTTACCATTAGGTAAAGAATTTCAAAACTAAACTAACATACTTCCTTATGTAGATGTTAAAGATCTACACAAAATCCTATTTTCTTTTAGGTTTTCTCTAAACTTTAAGTTTTAAGCAAAAGCCACAAAGAAATATCTTAGTAATGTTATATGTTTGCCAAGTATGTCTGAATAATGCCAACGTAAGAGTGCTTGAGCAAGATCTACATTCTCCAGAATTAAACAAAACAAAAATAATCAAAATCAAACAATAAAAAAGAAAAGCACATGAATTTGGGATTGAGGTTGGAATAGGAGACAGTTTCAGACCTGGTTTAATCCTGAGAAAGATGGGTCCTGAGAAGTACTAACAGTCATGCTTCTTTTCCTCTTCCCCACTGGAGATTCTAAACACTAAACAGACAATAGAGGGTGGCAGTGCATCAAACAGTATTGCTTACATTGCAACAATGGCCGGCGCAGACAGGCAACACCGAGGCATTAGAGAAAGAACAGGGTAGCCAAATGCCATCCTTCTTCCACCAAGCACTGTAGCTTCTCAGTTTTCCAAATAAGAATCACATGCTCAAGAACATTTGAATCCTGGAGAATACTTGAGTTTTAAATGCCACTATATTGTGTCACTGCCTGAAACAGGGATAGCAATGGTGACATTTGGCTTTTTAACTTTTAAAATCATAAACGGGGAATTTAGATCTGCAATCTTTGCTGCCCTTCCCCCAAAAAAAAGATTGTGCGGGGGGTAAAAAAAATCTTCAGTAAGGAAGAGGTAGAAGGCATTTAGTCACCTTAAAATTTATTTTAATTAGCATGCAGGGCTGATTACTGGAAGAGATGAGCAAAATCACTAAGCTGGCATGGCCACTCCTAAGCATCAAATTCAGAACAATTTCCCAAATAAAAATTTGACTTTTAAAAATTGACCTCAAGTCCCCAACAAATCCTCCCACCCCATGAACAGAAAACTACTGGAACAAGCTGACTACAGATTTCTCGTGCACCTGGCGTTTTAAAACTACAATATAGAAAACCAACTACATGCACATATAAAAACACAAAACTAATCTAAAATGTTCAAGAGCAACATTTGGTATATGACCCTTATTCAAGTAACACTGCCTTCTATTCCAGGATTTCTCTGAAACTGTACAGCAACAAGCAGTTTCACATTCTTTTTGATAACTAAAGAAAACACAGGTTTCCATAGCCTTTCACCACTGGGCAATCTGGATTTCTTAACACAACTATGTGATTAACAAGCTACTCTTTAAAAAAAAAAAAAAAAAAAGGCAAAGCAGTATTATTTAGGCCATCATTAATTTTAAGGCCAAGAACCATATACTGCTGTGCTAACTCAAAATGCCTGTGCTAAACATAGATCACTTGAGGATAATGGTCTTTAGGGGTAAGAAAATGGGAAGGCAAAGCTGGGAAATGGCCAAAAGAAGAGAGAGTCAGAACTGACAAAATTGTCCCCAAAATTAAGACCAGTAATTTTCTATCCACCTAAATCACCAGGCTTTGCAAATAACAATTAAGAACCTGGATGCTTCAAAGGAAAGCTACAGTGGTTTAAAAAAAAGGAAAAAGGAAAAAAAAAAAAAAAGGAAAGAAAAGAAAAGAAAAAGATGCAATTTGGGAATGGTAAGTTATATGTAGATTTTAATACTTTTCATTATTTAAAACTCAGTTTTCAACCACAAAAATTAATTTCATAAAGCTTGGTCAGCCAAACATTATCTCACACGTTAACAAATAACATCAATTCTAATAGTGACGGCTCCAAGTTGGCATTCATACAGGCAAACAAAGGTAAACATTTATATCTAGATCTAAAAACACCAAACATTCTCTGATGGATTAATAAAATAAATGGGAAATCTTCCTTCCAAAATCAAAACAAAACAAAAAACCCACACACAAAAAAAAATCCCCAAGTTGTCCTGAAGTTGAGAATTTCTGTCAGATCATAACATGCTTAGTGCATTGCCAATGCTGCCTGTCTGCCCGAGCTCAACATTGAATCAATAAATTAAGTAATTCACTCAACAAAACTAATCAATGAAGAAAAATTTCAATTAGTTTCTAACTACAATCATGCACCACTAACTAAAACCCACTCACAAGTCACCCCATAAACTCAACCCCAATGAACACTAGTTTTATTGTAAGAATGTTCATTTCACTTATCTATATTTTCCTTTCAAAAAGGGGGGAAGGAAAACAGAGAACCCACTCAACTTATTAGCACCCATGTAAGAAACTGTCAACTACTTTTTGAAGCAGGCTCAAATGTTATCCTCTTAAGAATACACAAACCAAAGGAATTCTCATTACCATTCATGCTCAGCCAGCAAATGTCAATGTCATGGTGACAGATGGGTCAGTGGTCCCCAAACTGGCACAAGCACATATATTAAAGAAAATGCACACTTCAGAGTCTAGGTTAAAATCTAAGTTTTAGCATTCTGGAGAAAAAGTATAATGGGGATTTTTCACTATCCCAGTGAATGAAAATAGATACGACTACTCAATAGTTAAGTAACATAGATGAGTTTATTTCATTACAAAGCCTTTAGAATTTTATATTTCCATATAACTAAACTTGGGTAAGCTGAAATTTATTTCAAGTTACTAAGTTAATAGAGTTAGCTGGTTATCTTCCTAGCACAATCCTTTAAAGCAATTATCAACAACAAATTCAATTTATAATGGTTTTTCAAAGATTGAAAATTTACCAAAGCAATTCTCAGAGATACTATACTCTTTGTTCTCTCATGCAAAGAGCTTTTGACTAACCTTATTACAGTGACGCCCAATACCCATTAGGAAGTTATCTGGTTTAATGTCTCTGTGTATAAAATTCTTTGTATGCACATATTCAATTCTACTGATCATCTGAAAAAGAATAAGGGGGAAGGAGGGATCATCGAGTTAAATGATGAATTAAAGCAACATATTATTTCTTAATGCAAACTTCTTTCAATTGACTTAAAAACATTACAACTACATTTAATAATTTTAGAGTAAATAAAAATAGCACTAAGGAAAAATTAAACAGACAAAGCCAGTAAAGTCTATATATCTATTATCTAGAATTATGAAAATCTAAGCATACACCCATAATGTCCTTTGGCTTGACCTTCCAGTGTTAACGGTTGTAAACACAAGAGACTAATCTTATAGAAGAATTGGTATTTACAATATTCAAATGACAATAAACTCAGAATTGCTCCAGTTGTTATAACCAATTACATAAAGCAAAAGCAATTACAAAGAGCATACATCATTACTTTCCACTCTCAATCCTATACCTCAAGGTAAGCCTGAGTTTAAATACATTGGTTACCACCCAGATCGTATTTCCATGCTCTTATGAACGAACACACATGCGCACACACATACTCCACATACACTGAAGGGGGAGTTATTTTGAAGACCCTTTATATAATGGGGTTTCCTTTCTTGCATGTTTTTTTGGGGGGGAATCATTCCAACAAATTTTCCTTAACTTATTGCAAATTCCAAGCCAAATTGGATAGCACTATTGTTCTCCTTAATAACCACAAATATTCTACGACACAGATTGTTGTTGTTTAGTGCCATCAAGTCAACTCTGACACAGAAACCCTGTACCAGTGCCACACCAAGACTCCATATTTCTCAGTCCCCAGTTCACAGCAGTCTCGTTGTTACAAATTTGTCCCACTATGAACTCCTGGTCAAAGAGAATGAGTATTCCAGAACACTTAATTGTGCTCATGAGGAACCTGTATATAGACCAAAAGGGTCGTTTGAACAGAGTAAGAGGACACTGAATGGTTTAAAATTAGGAAAGCTGTGTGCCCATGTTGCATTCTTTCAGCATACTTACTCAATCTGTATGCTGAGCACATAATTTGAGAAGCTGGTTTATATGAAGATGAACCTGACATAAAAGCTGGAGGAAGACTCATTAACAACCTATGCTACATAGATAATACAATCTTGCTTGCTGAAAGCAAAGAGGACTTAAATCCTCATGATAAATGGAGAAAAGATTAGAGTTGTCTGAAGACTTCATTTTGCTTGGATCAATCAACACTCATGGTAGCAGTAATCAAGAAATTAAATGGCCTACTGCATTAAGCAAATTTGTTGCACAAGACATCTTTCAAGTGTTCAAGAGTAAAGATGTCAGTTTGAGAACTAAGGTGCGTATCACCCAACCCATGGTATTTTCCAGTCTCATATGCATGTGAAAGTTGAACAACAAATAAAGATGACCATAGAAAAATTGATGCATTTGTGTTATGGTGTTGGAGAAGAATGTTAAAAGTACCATGGACTTCCAAAAGAACAAACAAATCTGTGTTTGAAGCAGTACAGTCAAAATTCTCCTTAGAAGCCGGGATGGCTGAATTTTGTCTCTTATACTTTGGACAAATTATCAGGAGGAGCCAGTCCCTGGAGAAGGACATCATGCTTGGTAAGTGGATGTCGACAGAAAGAAGACCCCCAATGAGATGGAACAGTACAGTGGCAGTAGTAACAATGGGCTCAAGTGTAGCAACAACTGTGAGGTTGGCACAGGATCAAGCAGTGCTTCATTCCATTGTGCATAAAGCTGCTATGAGTTGGTAACAACAACATGGACTCCTGGTGTGGCACTGTAGGAGCAACACTGGACTTCAAACCACAAAGTTGGCAGTTCAAACCCACCAGCTAGCTATTCCTCGGAAACCCTACACAGGGTTGCTCTGAGTCCAAATCGACTTGATGGCATTTAACAACACATACATTAATGCTATTGTGGTGCTGTGGGTTAATGAGCCAGACTGCAAAGCCCTTTGAACTGCAAGGTCGGCGGTTCAAGCTCACTAGCTGCTCCTCAGAAACCCTATATAGGGTTGCTATGGGTCGGAACCAACTTGATGGCACTTTAACAACAGCATTAATGCTATTAATATACATATATCCTTTACAGGTGTGCTTTTCCTTGTATAGGATATAAATCCTATACAATTATGAGAAATTGCTGGGTTGAAGGCCATGCATACATATTCCAGTTTGTCAGATGTTGTCAGACTGCCTTTGAAAGAGGGTTTTAAGAATTCCATCAGCATTCTTTTCCTTTTTTTTTTTTTAAAAGCTTTTGTAAAACCTACTGTAGAAGTTTTAAATGATCGAATTGTCAAGTATCTGTTCCCATTTTCCCGAGAGCACCTTCTACTTTGGATACACAGATTATATATCCTAATCCTTCACTATGTCAAATGTCTTTAGAAGCCATATCTATAATCTTTGATTTAACACCACCTATTTCTCACCAGCTGCTCCTTGGAAACCCTATACAGGGTTGCAAACAACTAGACGGCACTTAACAACTAACAACATTTATTTATTAGGAGCCACAGCTCCCTGAATATGCCCCATGTCTTCTGATCTCAGAAGCTAAGCAGGCTTGGGCCCAGCTATGACTTGGATGCCCCTGAGTATCCTAGGGACAGTAGGAGTCTGTTTGGAGTCCTGGTGTAGCGTTGTGGGTTAATGCATTAGACTGCAATGTCGGTTTGAACTGCAAGGTTGGTGGTTCAAGCTCACTAGTCGCGCCTTGGAACCCCTCTACAGGGTCGCTATGGGTCAGAACTGATTCGACAGCACTTCCAACAACAAAAACAATTTATTGCATATCTTCAAAGGGAGATGCATGCAATGTAGATGTTAGAGCATACACACACTTAGTACAGCAGTAACTTCTACTTTAAAAACAAAACATTTGGTTCACTTAATGCACAGATTATTTGTTCTAGCTAAATAATACCCATCATTAGATGTACTATTAATATTACTGGGAAAAGGTCAGGCAAAAGATAATTAATGGTATAAATTATAGACTACTTCAAGTGTGGACTACCATCTACAGAGCAAGACTTAATAATGCTTTCTTGTAACTCCCCTATGTTACCCAGTGCTCCCAACAGGCTTCTATCTCAAAACCCTTTATTTAATGTCTTACTTTTCCATCTTTCTCTACTGGACTCTAAGCTCAGAGGCAAGGAACTGACTCTCAGTTTTCTTTGCATTCCTTATTCTGTCCTATGTATGTAGTAACTATGGTCACAGTCCTTCAGAATGCCCGAGTATTACTGAGCCTACAGAATATAATCTGTAGCTTAATTACTATTCACCCATGTTAGTTGAAACATACCCTTTTAAAGTTTGAGCTGTCCAGTAGTTTTTATGTTAAGCTTGGATAATATCAGATGTTGATTACAGAAAATGGGCACTACTTTTAACCCTTTGAATTTAGACTGTTGATATAAATTCCACCATCAGGTTTCAATTTTAACACTTCATTTCACTTTCGAACATCTGATCAAAATTTCATTCTCTTCCATAAAAGTGGGCACTACTTTTCTGGTGTGGCACTATGGGCTAATGCAAAGTTGTCTGAACTGCAAAGAAGTCTGAACTGCAAGCTCAGCAGTTCAAGCTCACTAGCTGCTCCTCAGAAACCATACACAGGGTCGCTATGGGTTGGAACTGTTTCAATAACATATACATTCCACCTTTAGGTATCAGTTGTATCACCTCGTTTTACTTTCTAACATCTGATCAAAATTTCATTCTCTTTCACAGTATTTCTCAAAGCGTTTTTAGTGCTTTGTAAAGCATTTCCAACAATTTACTAGCCTTAAAGTTAACAAGGAGTCCTGGTGTGGTGCTATGGGGTAAGCATTGAACTGCAAAGTTGTTTGAATGGTAAGATTAGTGGTTCAAACTCACCAGCTGCACCAAGAAAATCCTAAACAGAGTCTCTGAATTGGAACCTCTCAACAGCACTTAGTTTAACAAATCTTGGCCAAAATTTAAAACTATGAATTCCTTGACATTTACCTGTTATCTTTACTATGTTGTCTTTTCCTCAAAGTTTTAATTGTATGTGTCATTATTTCCCTAGTGGTTACGAATTGGGTTGCAAACCGCAAGGTCAGCAGTTCAAAACTACCAGCTGTTCAGCGTAAGAAAGATGAGGCTTTCTGTTCCCATAAAGATTTACAGCCTTGGAAACCCTGTATAGGGTCCTCACTATGAGTCGGAACCGACTACATGGCACACAACAACAACATTCCCCCCAAGCTCTGGTAGCATAGTGGTTATGTATCAGGCTGCTAACCTCGAGGTCGTCAGCAGCTTGAAACTACCAGACATTCTGCGGGAGAGAGATGAGGCTTTCTGGTCCCATAAAGATTTACAGCCTCGGAAACCCTGTATAGAGGCATTATGAGTCAGAACCGACTCCATGGTACTTAACAACAACAACTGCTGCAACCTTAAGAAATTTAAAGTAAGCTTTTTTTTTTCTTCCCTTTTCATTTTTTCAAGATTAAAAATGGTTCCTGGCAAGGCACTCTGGAACCAATCCCCCAAACATACTGAGGGATAACTGTCACACACACATTGAAACTCATCAGGAATACAAATAAGACTTCAACTGAAAGAGCAGTCTAAAAGCTACTTGACTACTAATTGTTGTTAAGTGCCAGTCGAGTCAATTCTGACCCATAGTGACCCTGTATAAGGTTTCCAAGAAGCAGCTGGTAAGCTTGAACCGCGGACCTTACAATTCAAACAGCTTTCCAGTCTGGCGCATTAACCCACAGCGCCACACCAGGACTCCAATACATAAATAGTTATAATCCAGTTTTTGTCCTACACCCTTAGGAAAACATCTAGAAGTCTTTATGAAAGCACAAAAGAAAAACCTACTGCTGTCGAGTCGATTGACTGGTAGTGACTCAACAGAAGAGTAGAATTGCTCCATAGCGGGTCTAAGGCTGTAAATCTTTGTGGAAGCTGATAGCCATAACTTTCTCCTGCAGAAAGGCTAGTGGGCTAAAGTGCCGACCTTTCAGTAAGCAGTCAGCACTCAACAATTTGCACCATACCAGGGTTCCTCAGAAGTCAGAAGAGTACAGTTAAATCCCAGGTTACAGATAGACTTATGACCAACTCATACTTGCATTTCAATGTTAGGTAAATTTGCCCTCACTTTCAAATGACTCAACCAATCCCTATTCACAATTTTTCATCATCACCATCTTCTCACTGGCTACAAATACAGCTTTTAAAAATAAATGAAAAGAATTTGAACCATTTCTCGCACTAAAGTAAAACTAATTTAGAACCACATGTGCCTGATTAGACTTACCTAGAAATTCAGCTTAAAGGCACACTCAGGAACTGGCCTCATTCATAACCCAGAACTGTCTATATATAGTACACTTGAATGATAATCCATACAACGAAATCTTTTTTTGCTCGGTATTAAATAATGGCACAAAGGACAGTAATACTCTGTGGTTGCTGTGCACTGAAGTTACAGTCAAACAAAAGTTAACCATTTTAAGCCTTAGTTTCTAGTCTCATCAAAATTTTACATACCTGGTCGGCTAACATAAGTACAGTTTTCATTGTGAACCTTCTTGAACAGAAATTAAAGAGGTCTTCAAGGCTAGGTCCGAGAAGATCCATGACTAGTACATTGTAGTCTTTTTCTTGACCATACCACCTAATAAAACAAAAAAGAGAAAGGAGACAAAAGGGCATTATGAGAAGATGATTATCATTAAATATCAAAAATTAAAGATTCTTGTTGTCAAGTGCCGTCAAGTTGTTTCCAACTTGTACAGGATTTCCAAGGAGTGACTGGTGGATTTGAACCTCCAACCTTATAGTTAGCATACCAGTGCTTATTCTATAGCATCACGTCAGGACTACAATATTTTTCCATCACTGGTTGTTTTGATGTTGTTAGGTGCCATCGAGTTAATATTGACTCATAGTGACCCTACGCACAAAAGAAGGAAACACTGCCCGATCCTGGGCCAACCTCACAACTGTTGCCACTCGGCCAATCTATCTTGCTGGGGGGGGGGGGGTGTCCTTCGTCTTTTTCTCTGACCCTCCACCTTATAAACATGATATCCTTCTCCAGCGACTGGTCCCTCCTGACAATATGTCCGAAGTATGAGAGATGAAGTTTAGCCATCCTGGCCTCCAAGGAGCACTCTGGCTGCACTTCTTCCGACATAGATCTGTTGGTTCTTTTGGCAGCCCATGGTGTAGCATCACTGGTCAGGCATTATTTAAGTAAAATTTTCTTCTATGAAACTCAGGATTACCAATAGGGAGTCAAATGGGCACTACTTTAACCCCTTTGAATTTATAGACCACTAACATTTACTTGGACTCCTCGTGTGGTGCTGTAGCATCAGCACTGGACTGCAAACCAAAAGGTCAGTGATTCAAACCCACCAGTTGCTCCTTGGAAACCCTGTACAGGGTTGCTGTGTGTCAGAATTGACTCAACAGCACTTAACAACATCATTTATCTGAGGAGCTTAGCGACTCCATACAATAAACACTTAGCCAGCCAGTTGTGAAGAGGGAGAAAGATGAGGCTTTCTGCTCCTGAAAAGATTTAAAGCCTCAGAAACCCTAAAGAGTCGTTATGAGTTGAAACTGACTCAATAACAACAATAACATTTACTTGACTTTAGTTGGAACAAAGTTTTAATTATCCTGTGTTATGTTTTTGTGAATATATATACAATTTGCCTCCAATTAACACAGAATGTTGGTTCCCATGCACAGCAGCCCTATGCACAACAGAGCCCTATACATAACACAGAATGAATACTACCCACTGATAATTTCATAAACTGCAAAGATTAGCAGTCACTGCAACAAACAAATGAGTTTCTATTATGTATACAAGTTTCTATATGTGCACCATCCCTTTTATTTCATATGTACCCTAAGCAAGCATCATAACCTAATCAATACCCCCAAAAGAAAACTAGGGTCAATATTTCTTATGAATATACTTGCAAAAAATTTCAATAAAATACTAACAAAATCCAACAGCTTATTTAAAAAGTCATACACCATGACAAAGTGGGATTTAATGTAGAATGCAGGGGTGGTTCAACATTATAAAATCAACTAAACTACCACACCACATAAATAGAAAAAAAGGAAAATAACCACACAGTCATCTAAGATTGCAGAATAGGCATTTGATAAAATTCAATACCCTTTCTTAAGGAAAACCCCAACCAGTAGTCAACATTATACTTAATAGAGAGAAAGACTTACAGCTTTCTCCTTGAAACTGGGAACAAGACAAAGATACCCACTCTTACCATTTCTATTCAGTATTGCATTACATTTTAGAGCAGTACAAATAAGCAGCCAGACTGGAAAATACACGTAATATTATCTCTATTCATGGATATGATTCTATATAGAGAACATCCCATAGAGTCGAAAAGAAAACTTGAGTTAGTAGACAAATTTACAAAGTTCAGGGTACAAAAATCAATTAAGTTTCTATGCACCAGCAATGAGAAATCTGAAAGGAAAATTTCATTTACAATAGCATTTAAGATAATAAAATACCTAAGAATAAATGAAACCAAGGACAAGAAGGACTTACATAAACTTTTTAAAACCCCCTCATATTGTTGAAATTTCAGTACTACCCAAAGGGATCAGCAGATTCAACATCTATCTAAATAAAATTTCTGAGTATTTTCTACAGAAATAAGAAAAACAATCCTTAATTTTGTATGGAAAAAGAAGAGACCCCAAATAGCTAAAACAATGCTGAAAGAAAAGAACAAAGCAGGATTCATACTCCCTGATTTTAAAATCTAGCTGGTGTGGTGCTGTAAGATAAGTACTGGACTGCTAACTGCAAGACCGGAAGTTCAAACTCATCAGTTGCTCCTTGGAAATCCTATACAGGGTCATTATGAGTCAGAAGCGACTTAGCGGCACTTAACAACAACATACAGCTACAACAGTGAAAATAACCTGGTATTGACACAACAAAAGGCACAAAGACCAATGGAATAGAACCCAAAGTTCAGAAATAAACCCACATATCTATGACCAACTGACTCTTGACCCAGGGCTTTAAGTCCATTCAATGAGGAAAGAAGAGTCTCGTCAATAGTGCCAGGAAAATTGGATTTCTATAGATCCTTGCCTCATGTCATAAACAAAAATAAATTCAAAATGGAAAGGAACAAAGGTGCAAACCAAAACTGTAAAATTCTTAGTACAAGCAGTAGCAACACACTGTAAAGCCTAGCTTTTAACAATGAATTACCTAATTTAATAACAAAAGCAAACAGCAGAAGACAAAATAAGTAAGTGGTACATTTATTTAACTTAAAATTTAAAAACTTTTGGTTATCAAAAGATTTTACCAAAAAAAAAAAAAAAAAGAGACAAGCTACCAACTGAGAGAATATCTTTAGAAACCAAGTATCTGACAAAAGCCTAATAACCAAAATAAATACACACTTCAACAACTTCAACAACTCAACCATAAAATGGAGCAAAGAACTGACTAAACATTCCAAAGAGGACATTCAAATAATCATCAACAGATGAAAATTATTAGCCACCATAGGAATGAAATACCATTACCTAACAACTAGAAGTCCTGGTGTGGTGTTGTGGGTTAATTAGACTGTAATTAGACCAAGGTCAGCGGTTCAAGCTCACCAGCCGCTCTTTGGAAACTCTATACAGGGTTGCTATGCGTCAGAACCAACTTGATTGTACCTAACAACATCAACTAGGATGGATACAATTAAAAAAAAAAAAATCATATGGGAAGGATGTGGAAAAACTGAACTCGAACCCATTGCTGATGGAAATGCAAAATGGCACGGCCACTGTGGAAAACAAATAAAATAATAATAAATAAATAAAAATAGAACCACCATGTTGTTTTTGTTAAGTGCTGTTGACCCTGTGGTTAGCAGTCTTAGCGCTTATCCTACACCACCACACCAAGACTCCAGAACTATCATTTTGTTGTTTGCCGTCAGGTTGGTTTCATCTCATTGTGGCCCTGTATAGGGTTTCTGGGAATGGCTGATGGCTATGAACTGCAAACCTTGTAGCTGGCAGTCTAATGCATATCCTACAGTGCCATACCAGGACCCTCTAGAACTATACTACTATGTGACCCAATAATATACCCAAAAGGCTTTACTTACATAAAAAGACCAGAAAAGTCAAATGTATATAGAGCAAAGTTTATTGGTAGTTATTGGGAGTAGGAGGGAAGGGGAGATTAACAATGATACAAAAATCACACTAACTAAATGTAAGGCTGCTTATTATAATTACTGTCAATAAGTTGTACATCTGTAAAAAAAAAACCTGGCAAAAGTTGTGACAAGTATATTTACAACAATGATGACAAAGTGAACTACTGAGACTGTTTATATACACCTTGGTTTAAAGTTTTAAGGTCATGGTTTCATGGGACATTCCAAATGAGTCTGTTCATTTTCCTAATGTGATGTTTAGTGTCTAGGGTCTTAAAAGATTCAAGTGCCATGTCCACATCTGAAGAAAAACAGTGGAAAAATGAAGAGTCAGGAGTAGGAGAAGCATGTAGATACGTGACTGAGTACCTCTAAGAATAACTGTCTCTTTTGCCATGAAACCAGAAAAACTGAATGGTGGCCGGCTACCATTTTCAAAATTCTGTCTCACGGAATCTAGACTTTCTGGAGTCATGAAGAGTAGATTAAACCCCTGAAACTATTGCCTTGAAATAATCTTTTAAATTTAGAACCAAAATATGTCGCCTGAAGTCATCTTAAAACCGAATAGTTTAGCTAACTAGTAAAAAGGGTCTGCTTTTGAGCATAATACTCTTAATAACTCTCTATATGGTATAAAATTGCCAACAGCAGAATACAGGAAATTGGAGAGGAATCTTGAGTTTGTGCTGCTGACAGAGGAACAACGCAGAAACGGAGGGTGAGAACGGTTGTACAACTCATGGTAATCAATGTCACTAAATTGTACATGAAGAAAACTATTGAGCTGCTGTATGTTCTCAACAAAATAAAAATTTAAAGAAAGTCACAGCATATTTTTAGTATAAATTTAATTTATCTAGGTTTTTAAGGTAGAACAGTTCTACAGATTTCATAAAGCACTTAAGTCGGTTCCGACTCATAGCGACCCTGTACAGGGTTTCCGAGGCTATAAATCTTTATGGGAGCAGAAAGCCTCATCTTTCTCCAGCGGAACAGAGGGTAGTTTCGAACTGCTGACTTTACGGTTCGCAGCCCAATTCGTAACCACTATGCTCCCATAATAATTAGAAACCAGGAGAATCAGATGAATTCAGAAAACACATTTTTAAACAATAAAACTATACACATTCTAAAAGACATTTTTATCTTTGTCACTATTGGACTACTGTAGCAATTTGGAGAATCAGGTTTAATAGAGAAAGAAAACGAAACACTGTGGAATACAAAGCAACTAGAGCCACAAACACAGATTAAGACTAATTTTTCCAAAGTGATAACTTATTTATATGTGAGATCATTTTGTGAAAACTGTTGTTTTAGATGCAGGAGGTGAAGCAAAGTGATAAACTCCTAGCTGAAAGGTTGGCAGTTCAAAATTACCAGAAGTGCCTTGGACCCATTCAAAGGCGCGTGGGAAGACATGACTGGTGACTGA